TGGATGGGTGGGTTGGTTGGGTGGGTGGGTTGGTGGGATGGGTGGGTGGTGGTTGGGTGGGTTGGTGGATGGGTGGGTTGTTGGGTGGGTGGGTTGGTGGATGGGTGGGTTGTTGGGGTGGGGTGGGTTGGTGGATGGGTGGGGTTGTTGGGTGGGTGGGTTGGTGGATGGGTGGGTTGTTGGGTGGGTGGGTTGGTGGATGGGTGGGTGTTGGGTGGGTGGGTTGGTGGATGGGTGGGTTGTTGGGTGGGTGGGTTGGTGGATGGGTGGGTTGTTGGGTGGGTGGGTTGGTGGATGGGTGGGTTGTTGGGGGTGGGTGGGTTGGTGGGTGGGTGGGTGGGTTGGTGGGTGGGTGGGTTGGTGGTTGGGGTGGGGGTTGTTGGGTGGGTGGGTTGGTGGGTGGGTGGGTTGTTGGGGGTGGGTTGGGGTGGTGGGGTTGGTGGTTGGGGTGGGTTGTGGGTGGGTTGGTGGATGGGTGGGTTGTTGGGTGGGTGGGTTGGTGGATGGGTGGGTTGGTGGGTGGGTTGGTGGATGGGTGGGTTGTTGGGTGGGTGGTTGGTGGGATGGGTGGGTTGTTGGGTGGGTGGGTTGGTGGATGGGTGGGTTGTTGGGTGGGTGGGTTGGTGGATGGGTGGGTTGTTGGGTGGGTGGGTTGGTGGATGGGTGGGGTTGGTGGGGTGGGTGGGTTGGTGGATGGGGGTGGGTTGTTGGGGTGGTTGGTGGATGGGTGGGGTTGTTGGGTGGGTGGGTTGGTGGATGGGTGGGTGGGTTGTTGGGTGGGTGGGTTGGTGGATGGGGTGGGTTGTTGGGTGGGTGGGTGGTGGATGGGTGGGTTGTTGGGTGGGTTGGTGGATGGGTGGGTTGTTGGGTGGGTGGGGTGGTGGGTGGGTGGGTTGTTGGGTGGGTGGGGTGGGTGGGTGGGTGGGGTGGGTGGGATGGGTGGGTGTTGGGTGGGTGGGGGTGGTGGGTGGGTGGGTGGTGGGTGGGGGGGGTGGGGGGTGGGTGGGTTGTTGGGTGGGTGGGTTGGTGGATGGGTGGGTTGTTGGGTGGGTGGGTTGGTGGATGGGTGGGTTGTTGGGTGGGTTGGTGGATGGGTGGGTTGTTGGGGTGGGGGGTTGGTGGAGGTGGGTGGGTTGTTGGGTGGGTGGGTGGGATGGGTGGGTTGTTGGGTGGGTGGGTTGGTGGATGGGTGGGTTGTTGGGTGGGTGGGGTGGTGGGGTGGGTTGTTGGGTGGGTGGGGTGGTGGGTGGGTGGGTGTTGGGGTGGGTGGGGGTGGTGGTGGGGGGGGTTGTGGGTGGGTGGGTTGGTGGATGGGGTGGGGTGTTGGGTGGGTGGGTTGGTGGATGGGTGGGTTGTTGGGTGGGTGGGTTGGTGGATGGGTGGGTGTTGGGTGGGTGGGTGGGGGGGGGGGTGGTGGATGGGTGGGTTGGTGGGGGGGTGGGGTTGGTGGTGGGGGGGGGTTGGTGGGTGGGGGGTTGGGGGGGGTGGGTTGTTGGGGGGGGTGGGGTTGGTGGATGGGTGGGTTGTTGGGTGGTGGGTTGGTGGATGGGGTGGGTTGTGTGGGTGGGTGGGGTGGTGGATGGTGGGTTGTGGGTGGTGGGTTGTGGATGGGTGGGTTGTTGGGTGGGTGGGTGGGTGGGTGGGTTGTTGGGTGGTGGGTTGGTGGATGGGTGGGTTGTTGGGTGGGTGGGTGGGGGGGGTGGGTTGGTGGGGTGGGGGTGGGTTGGTGGATGGGTGGGTTGTTGGGTGGGTGGGTTGGTGGATGGGTGGGTTGTTGGGTGGGTGGGTTGGTGGATGGGTGGGTTGTTGGGTGGGTGGGTTGGTGGGATGGGTGGGTTGTTGGGGTGGGTTGGTGGATGGGTGGGTGTTGGGTGGGTGGGTTGGTGGGGTGGGTGGGGTGTGGGTGGGTGGGGGGGTTGGGTGGTGGGGGGGGTGTTGGGTGGGTGGGTGGTGGATGGGTGGGTGGGTGGGTGGGTTGGGTGGATGGGTGGGTTGTTGGGTGGGTGGGTGGTGGTGGGTGGGTGGGTGGGTTGGTGGGGGGTGGGGTGTTGGGTGGGTGGGTGGTGGATGGGTGGGTTGTTGGGTGGGTGGGTTGGTGGTGGGTGGGTTGTTGGGTGGGTGGGTTGGTGGGTGGGTGGGTGTTGGGTGGGTGGGTTGGTGGATGGGTGGGTTGTTGGGTGGGTGGGTGGTGGATGGGGGGTTGTTGGGGGGGTGGGTGTTGGGTGGGTGGGTTGGGGGGGGTGTGGGTGGGGTGTTGGGGTGGGTGGTGGATGGGTGGGTTGTTGGGTGGGTGGGTTGGTGGATGGGTGGGGTTGTGGGTGGGGTGGGTTGGTGGATGGGGGGTGTGGGTGGGGTGGGTTGGTGGATGGGTGGGTTGTTGGGTGGGTGGGTTGGTGGGGTGGGTGGGTGGGTGGTGGGTGGGGTGGTGTTGGGGTGGGTGGGGTTGGTGGATGGGTGGGTTGTTGGGTGGGTGGGTTGGTGGATGGGTGGGTTGTGGGTGGGTGGGTTGGTGGATGGGTGGGTTGTTGGGTGGGGTGGGTTGGGTGGATGGGTGGGTTGTTGGGTGGGTGGGTTGGTGATGGGTGGGTTGTTGGGTGGGTGGGTTGGTGGATGGGTGGGTTGTTGGGTGGGTGGGGTTGGTGGATGGGTGGGTTGTTGGGTGGGTGGGTTGGTGGATGGGTGGGTTGTTGGGTGGGTGGGTTGGTGGATGGGTGGGTTGTTGGGTGGTTGGTGGTGGGTGGGTGTTGGGTGGGTGGGTTGGTGGATGGGTGGGTGTGGGGTGGGTGGGTTGGTGGATGGGTGGGTTGTTGGGTGGGTGGGTTGGTGGATGGGTGGGGTTGTGGGTGGGTGGGTTGGTGGATGGGTGGGTTGTGGGTGGGTGGGTTGGTGGATGGGTGGGTTGTTGGGTGGGTGGGTGGGATGGGTGGGTTGTTGGGTGGGTGGGTTGGTGGGTGGGTGGGTTGTTGGGTTGGTTGGTGGATGGGTGGGTTGTTGGGTGGGTGGGGTTGGTGGATGGGTGGGTTGTTGGGTGGGTGGGTTGGTGGATGGGTGGGTTGTTGGGTGGGTGGGTTGGTGGATGGGTGGGTTGTTGGGTGGGTGGGTTGGTGGATGGGTGGGTTGTTGGGTGGGTGGGTTGGTGGATGGGTGGGTTGTTGGGTTGGTTGGTGGATGGGTGGGTTGTTGGGTGGGTGGGTTGGTGGATGGGTGGGTTGTTGGGTGGGTGGGTTGGTGGATGGGTGGGTTGTTGGGTGGGTGGGTTGGTGGATGGGTGGGTTGTTGGGTGGGTGGGTTGGTGGATGGGTGGGTTGTTGGGTGGGTGGGTTGGTGGATGGGTGGGTGGGTTGTTGGGTGGGTTGGTGGATGGGTTGGTGGATGGGTGGGTTGTTGGGTGGGTGGGTTGGTGGATGGGTGGGTTGTTGGCTGGGTTGGTGGATGGGTGGGTTGTTGGGTGGGTGGGTTGGTGGATGGGTGGGTTGTTGGGTTGGTTGGTGGATGGGTGGGTTGTTGGGTGGGTGGGTTGTTGGATGGTAGGGTTGGTTGATGGCTGGGTTGGGTTGGTGGGTTGGTGGATGGGTGGGTTGGTGGATGGGTGGGTTGTTGGGTGGTGGGTTGGTGGATGGGTGGGTTGTTGGGTGGGTGGGTTGGTGGATGGGTGGGTTGTTGGGTGGGTGGGTTGGTGGATGGGTGGGTTGCTGGGTGGGTTGGTGGATGGGTTGGTGGATGGGTGGGTTGTTGGGTGGGTGGGTTGGTGGATGGGTGGGTTGTTGGCTGGGTTGGTGGATGGGTGGGTTGTTGGGTGGGTGGTTTGGTGGATGGGTGGGTTGTTGGGTTGGTTGGTGGATGGGTGGGTTGTTGGGTGGGTGGGTTGTTGGATGGGTGGGTTGGTTGATGGCTGGGTTGGGTTGGTGGGTTGGTGGATGGGTGGGTTGGTGGATGGGTGGGTTGTTGGGTGGGTGGGTTGGTGGGTGGGTTGTTAGGTAGTGGGTTGTATGGTTGGGTGGGTTGGTGCGTTGTATGGTTGGTGGGTTGTCGGATGGTATGTTGGATGGGTTGTTAGATGGGTGGGTTGTTGTGTGATATGTTTGTTGGGTGGGTTGTAATGTTGGGTGGGTTGTTGGGTGAGTTGTTGGATGGCTATGTTGGATGGCTTGTTGAGTGACTCATTGGTTCATGTATCCATGTTTCTTGACGAGCTGGATAACATGTTGGATGTTGTTAGATTTGGCTGTGACGTAGTTGGATAATCTTTAGACTGATACCCAAAAGTCCGAAGTAACGATTTTATGTGACCTTGACATATGAAATGTTTGCACAATTAGTGCCTTGCCCTGCAGCCTTTACTCTCTCTAAATTACGCCAGGTAACTATTACATCCTCTGGCTACCTTTCGGCACCTCCTGCGACACTGCTGATTCCAAACTGTACAGGTAACGCCCTGTCCTTTGGAACCATCAGCCAGTGGCGTAGGCAGGGGGGGGGGGGGTTAGGGGGTCATAAACCCCCCCCCCATAGACTCCTCGGTATATATATATATATATATATATATATATATATATATATATATATATATATATATATATATATATATATATATATATATATATATATATATATAAAGTATGAGGGGGGGTGCAAATCGAAAGTTTGAGGGGGGGGAGGGGGTGCAAATCCTAAAGTTTGTCCCCGGGTAAAAATTGGAACCCCCCCCCCCCCCCTTGAGACGATCCTGGCTACGCCACTGCCATCAGCTGTAGGGAGAGATGGGGGCTGATACATGGGCAACATCTGACTCGCTTAGGGCCCAGGCTCTGTGTTTGGATTTCCAACGCGCAATCGTTCAATGGTCTATTAGACTATGACGCCATATTATATTACATCTTGGCAAACTCGCGGCTGGGAGGCGGGCATGTCAGGTCTATTCTAGTAAAAATCGAATACTGTGTAGACCCCGGTGGACGATACATAGATGACGAATCTTCCTGTTGCGTCTTTCAGGAAATGGAGTAATCGAATTCCAAGACTTCCGGTTATACATGACGAAGATGAAGAAGCTGAGCTATGACGAGAGGAAACAGGAAATGATGAGGGCATTTAGGTCAGTCTCGGTGTTTCTTTCAGGCATCTCTTGGGGTGGGTGGGGGATCACGTCTATCGTCCTCTCACCCCGAACGTAATAGAAGTTATATAGAAAAATATACACTTTTATCAGTGCCCCCCACCCCATGGAAAATTTAGTCATACGGTGAGAAACAAAGTTTTGATTTATTAGCTGAGCGTACCGTTTAATCACGTCTGATAGATGTATTCAACGAGCAAAAATTGATAACATGAATACCCTAATTGAAAGAGGAAATTTTAAAATAATAAACATAATATAATCTCATATTTGGCTGCTTTTCGTATCCACTGGTTCAAATCGATCACTTTCAACCTATGTTTATATTTACAGTAATTTGATATTACAAAATTAGTAACTATGATAATAATTAATATGATATTTTCCTATAAAAAAGACAAAATTAATCACTTTAATCTTATGTTTATAATAATTTGATATTTGCCTATTCAAAAACAATTAGTTACTCTAATCCAGAGTTTCTTCCAGGCATCTCCCCCCCCCCCCGAAGAGATGGAATTTATTTAGTAAACATACACTTCTATTAGTGTCCGCCCCCCCCCCCGAAAAATGTTGACCGCCAACCCGAAAATATCAAGTGCCCCCCCCCCCCGGAGAAAGAAGTCTGGAAGAAACACTGCTCTAATCTTATGTTTATAATAATTTAATATTTGCCTAAAAAAGACAAAATTAATCACTCTAATCATCTGTTTATAAGAATTTGATATCTGCTTATATAAACGACAAAATAATTATTATAGGACAAAATAATTATTCTAATCTTACGTTTATAATACATTGATTTATGGCGAATATTAGCATCATTTATCTGCCGATGTTTTAGGATAATAGATAAAAACAACGATAAATTCATCGACCCCAATGAGTTGATCGCCATGTTGAAATCACTCGGCGAGCCCCTGACTGAGGAAGAGGCGGGGGCTATGATCCGGGTCGCTGACGTCAACAATGACGGCAAGATCGACTATGAAGGTGGGTTATGACGTCAGAATTGGTTAATTTTTATTAATTTTATGAGTTGGGCTTGTGTGTATGTAGCTATTTGAGTGTTGTGTGTACTTTTCCGTTTTGTGGGACCATGATGGCCATGAGCTGGCATTAGAGGTGTCTAAATTAAAGTGTGATTGAATCTTTCTAGAATTACTATTTTAGTTTGGGGGGGGGGGGGCATCCATAACTGACGTCACGCTTTTTTGACGATTTATACCTCCCCCTCCCCATCCGTCACACATCGTCACAAAAAGCCAGACCCACCCCCCTAAAATAACGTCACACCTCAGCCTACAACCCCCCCCCCCCCTCAAAATTGCAATTGAATTTTTCTTAAAATACGATATTTTTTCCGAAATCTTGTCTGAACTCTGTCGATATAGAGTGTTTTAATCAATTCCTATTACAATTATTAAAGCAGTTTACTAAAACGCGAAATAACGGCAAAAAGTCGCTTTCTAACATTGCTTTTTTATTATGCAAAAGAGTGACGTCGCACCATCTGAACCCCCCCCCCCCCCTCCATTTCATCACACACCGTCACAAAATTACGGACCCCCCCCCCCTCCCCCCTACGAGCGTGACGTCATTTATAGACGAGCCCCTTAGGCTTAAGTTATGAGGGGCGGGGGTGAAGAATATCAGCGGTACCCTTGTAACTCAAACGGAAAAGTACCAAATTATTGCTTGCCATTTGCTGTGTTTGAATTTGCGTTGTCCCACGCATTTGATTGGCTATCATATGTGGTCGGTTGTATTAAAACACATACTAAAACAAATGATATTTTTATACTATTTCAATAAGTATTTTATCGTAATTACGTAATTAAAGAACTATTCACAAACAGTTTTCCTTTCTAACTGTAGACGTGTTAAAACATAAAATCAACCTGTTAAAAATGAATGTCTTGTATTCATTTATACTTCTGTATGTACTGTATAAGTGGACTTTGTGTGGACCAACCACTTTATTTTAGCAGTCCTGTACCGTCTTAAAGTGGGTTGGGTAGTGGTTTAGAGCAGTTTGTTTTAGAGTTTAATTGCTAGTTTTTAATAACATAATATATCGTGTCGTTGATTTTTTTTTTTATGTCGGATTAATTTAAGTAGCAATTTGGTTTTCCATACTTTTTTCCTCAACAGAGTTCGTGAAATTCATCATAGCTCCTTGTATCTAGAAATGACATAAAGTGAGTAAGAGGACTTCCGTACAATCATGCAACTTAGATTAAAATACCTAACTTGATTAATTAAGATTTGGATGTATAGAAATTGTAGAATATCGTTGTGGATATGGTCTGGATTATTCTTAGTGACGAGGTTAGATCTAGTGTTGGGGTTAGTGCAGTATGTTAAGGTTTTAATGCTCTTTTAAAAAACAAACTTCCTCAATCGTTAATATTTGATTTGTTGCTTGCTTTACGTGTGCTTGAAGAATCAGTATCTAAGCATGTTACCTCAGCCCTCATTCTATGAAAGCCTTTATTCGAAACATAAATAACTGCCATTTACAATTTCTGGTCTTTAAATACAATTTTTAATTTTAATTTTTTGATTTGATGAGCACAAATTAACACTTCATGTGCTGTTTATTTGCTTCACAAAACGTCACATTTTAAAAATTATTAACATTACAGGACACATCACCTAAACTGCTAAGAAATTTAGTTTGTTCATATTTTATTTGCGTTGTGCTTCCGCTTTTATTGGCTATGGTGTATAGACTAATTCCACACTCGTTGTGTCCCTTATTCTGATAGTGGGTTAACAATCTTCTGCAGCTAATTAGAGCTCCTTAACATGACATGCATTTTAATTGTGAGTTGACTGGAAACGTTTTTAGCTTTATTAACTCTTTGTAGATTTTGTGTAACCGTTTTGTTCTGTTTGTTTTTGTAATAGATTGAAATAATTGTGAGGTCAAGGGAACTCACTCTTCTGTATTAGTTATATTTATAATATTGTTATCTTGAGTGATGTCCCTTGGGTACTTCCTCCCGTCCTCTCTGTGTGTTACCATCGTGATGTAGTTAGACCCAATAAATGTGTTATATACAACCACAGGCTTCTGTCGTCAATCTATTATAACTGGCGACGAAGGATAAACATCTACTAGAAAGAGCACCTACTTACGCAAAAAAGAGGTTTGCTAGAGCTTATTAGCTAATTATTTCTAGAATTATGGCGCTGTATGGCCAAATAAAACAATTTGATGCGAATGATGAAATCATTCAAGATTACCTAGAGAGGTTAAGCTTTTACCTAGAAGCTAACGACGTGACGATAGAAGCCAAAAAGAGAGCTGTTTTGTTAACAGTCATAGGGCCTCAACAATTTAGGCTACTAAAAGACTTATGCGCACCAGCTAGTCTAACTACCAAGAGCTTTAACGAGCTGAGCAAATTGCTAACAGACCACCATGCGCCTGTACCATCAAAGTTTCTATGTCGAGCTAGATTTGACAGTAGGACTCGTCAACCAAACGAGTCAATATCAGAATATGTTGCTGCTTTACGTCATTTAAGTAGATTTTGTGAATTCGGAGACACGCTGTCTGACAGATTATGTGAAAAGTTTGTGACAGGTGTAAACAGCCCTGATATTCAAAGAAAGTTGCTGCTCGAGTCAGATCTAAAATTAGAAAAAGCAATACAACTTGCAACTTCAATCCAGCAGTCATCAGATGCGGCGAAATCTCTAACGCCTTCAGGGATCCATGCAGTAAACAGCAGGTTAGTCAATAAACATCAACCCCATCAGAGCATTCCAACTTATGCTAAACAGCCTGCTCGTTCAAATCCTAGATCTAAATCTAGTAATAATTATCAAAAATGTCATCGATGCAAAGGTCCCCATGCATCTCATCGGTGCAAGTTCAAGTCTGCAACTTGTTATAAGTGCGGTAAGCAAGGTCACATTGCCAAGGCCTGCTTTGCAAAGTCTTCGTCTGTTGCTAAATCTAGCCAGTCAAGACAGTACCGCAACCAAAAGCAGCACTATGTTAACTCTCACCAAGACTACCTAACCCAACCAATGAACCACTCTACCTGTGAAAATTCTCAAACTGATTCGCAGCCGGATTTCAGCCTGTTCTCTGTGAAATCAATGAGTCATGCTCCCATCAATGTACAAGTTAATATCAACGGTAAGAGCATCAGCTTCCAACTTGACACTGGAGCATCTCTAACAGTCATAACAAAGAAAGAGTTTGACGCTGTCACAGGAGGATCAGTGCCTCTACAGCCGTGTCACAAGTGTCTAACAACATACACTGGTGACAATGTTCCGGTAATAGGAGAGTGTATGGTTCATGTAAGTTATAATGGTCAAAGTGTTAAACTTCCTCTTCTTGTGGTTGAAGGAAATGGACCGCCATTACTAGGTAGGAACTGGTTAAGTGATCTTAAGTTAAATTGGGAGAGTATTTGTTCATTGAAGAATGTAAAAGAATCTAGTCTTACTTCACTAGATAAAGTAATATCTGAAAATAAATGTGTTTTTGGTAACTCTGGATTACTAAATGATAGAACAGTGAAGTTAAGCATTAAAGATACAAATCCAAGATACTGCAAAGCTAGAGTTCCACCTTATGCAATGAGGAATAAAATTGAAAATGAGCTAAGTAGATTGGAATCTAATGGCATTATAAAGAAGGTAGACTATTCCGATTGGGCGACACCCATTGTGCCAGTGTTAAAGAAGGATGGTTCTATAAGAATTTGTGGAGATTATAAAACTACACTGAATAAGCAAATAGAGCTAAATAGGTACCCTATACCTAACATTGAGGAAATTTCTTTGAATTTGGCAGGAGGAGACAAATTCACTGAATTAGACTTTAGTCATGCTTACACTCAACTAGAACTGCATCCAGATTCAAAAGTCTATACGACAATAAACTGACGTGGATTGTAATGACTGACGAGAAGCCGCGTTGGTTGTTAACAGTCTTTATTATGTACAGACGCCATCATGCAAAGAGAGAGGGAGAAGTGGCCAGAGACCACTATATATATATAACAACATGTAAGGGACATCACTCAAGATAACAATATAAATATAATACTAATACAGAGAGTGAGTTCCCTTGACCTCACAATTATTTCAATCTATTACATCCCTTTACCCTTAGAACACAATAACACATCTCTCAATAGAACAATTGATAGTATCCTAAAATCACCAATTACATTGTAACATGAACACTATGGTAGATTACATCCTTACAAACAATGCACAATATGCTACAACATAATCAAAATACAAAACAATAATGTCAAAGTCCTTTTGACCTTTAGAATCATAGGTCTAACTTATTTGGGACTTTGATTGTCCTGCTTGACCTTCTCAGTGGCTTCTGATTTGGTGACTCAAGATTCTGACCATCTGGATTCTCTATCTCAGGAGGTCTAGGATTTAAATCATTAACTCCAGAATTTACATTTTCTGACTCTAGACAACTTGGTTCACTCATATCAACAGAACCTGGTTGTGGAACAAACTGAGTTGGTGTGAACTGATCAGACTTGGTGGGATTGACAGATTCACACTTATTATCTGCACAAGTTATTTTTAACTTTATAAGACATAGGTCCTGTACATTGAACAATTTGACCTGGTATCCATTTTTCCTTTCTCCCATAATTTCTTAGATACACATTCTCATTAACACCAAATTCTCTTTCAATGAATGTTTGTCATGATTTAATTTTTTTAATTGGCATCTGAAAGTATTATGCTATTATTCAGATCCTTAACTGGCATAGATTTCTTTGATTGATCAATTTTCTCAGGTAATCTGATAGTGCTTTCCTGGTAACCAAAAATACTGTTTAAAGTAATATCCTGGACAATATCACTTTGCAACTGTGATCCAGTATTTGAAGTGGGTGTATTAAATGGCAAAAATCTTTTTTTTTTCTTTTGATGTTACCCTTTTATTTTCTGTAAGTGCTAATGATGTTAGCAAAGTTGTTTTATGATCACATTCCTTCTTACTTAAAGCATTTGAAATTGCCATATCACCATAATCATTTATTAAGTTACAAATACTTTGTTTAGGCAACTCTGACTGATAATGGACTGCATCTTCTCCATCTTTTATATTATCTTCACAAAGGGTTTTAATTTCTTATTTAATATGGCTTTAAGTCATCATTCACTGACTCTTTAGGCCAACCATTCTTACAGTACTCATATACTTTTATTAAGCACTCATCTTTTTGTGTTTCTCTCTTAATATTATTCACATTTATATAGGAGTTATCCATGATAGTGAAGAGAACAAATACATCTTCTGGTACATAGCTCAGGCTTTGGTTTTTTAAAGGTAATCTACTAAGACTATCTGCACTATTCTCAGATCCAGGTTTGTATTTCAATTCATAATTGTATGCAGTTAGTGTGATAGCCCATCTTTGAATTCTTGGTGAGGCATGCTCAGGTAGGGTTTTGTTTTCTCCAAATAAACCTAGCAATGGTTTATGATCTGTAAAGATGGTGAAATTCCTACCAAACAGAAACTTATGAAATTTCTTAACACCAAAAATGATGCCTAAGCCTTCCCTATCTAACTGAGAATAATTTTTCTCAGCCTGGTTCAAAGATCTACTGGCAAAAGCAATGGGTCTGTCACCCTTCTCATCCATGTGGGACAAGACTGCTCCTACACCATCTGGTGAAGCATCACATGTCAATACAAGTCTTTTCCCTGGGTCATAGTGAGTTAGTAAGGTGCCAGCAGACAAAGCCTCTTTTGCTGTATTAAAAGCAGCTTCTTGTTGTTTACCCCAGTGCCAAGTTGCATTTTTCTGTAGCAGCTTGTACAGTGGTGATAGTTTACCAGACAGATTCCCTATGAACTTTGCATAGTAATTTATCAAGCCCAAAAAAGCTCTTAGTTGTTGGGTATTTTCAGGTTTGGGTGCTTCTTTAATGACTTTTGTTTTCTCAGGTTGAGGTCTGATGCCTTGTTTGCTTAATATATATCCAAGAAAACTAATTTCTGTCAGCATGAATTGACATTTATCTTTGTTTATCTTTAAACCTTTTTCACCAACAATTTTCAATACTTTATCAAGTGTTTTAAGATGTTCAGTGTCATTCTTACCAGTTATGTACACATTGTCAAAGTACACACAAACATTTGGAATGTCCTTAAAAATACTGTCCATGACAGCTTGGAAAATTCCAGGGCTAGATGATATGCCAAAACATAGTCTTTCATATTGGTAGAGTCCTTTATGTGTGTTTATTGTCGTATAGACTTTTGAATCTGGATGCAGTTCTAGTTGAGTGTAAGCATGACTAAAGTCTAATTCAGTGAATTTGTCTCCTCCTGCCAAATTCAAAGAAATTTCCTCAATGTTAGGTATAGGGTACCTATTTAGCTCTATTTGCTTATTCAGTGTAGTTTTATAATCTCCACAAATTCTTATAGAACCATCCTTCTTTAACACTGGCACAATGGGTGTCGCCCAATCGGAATAGTCTACCTTCTTTATAATGCCATTAGATTCCAATCTACTTAGCTCATTTTCAATTTTATTCCTCATTGCATAAGGTGGAACTCTAGCTTTGCAGTATCTTGGATTTGTATCTTTAATGCTTAACTTCACTGTTCTATCATTTAGTAATCCATGATTACCAAAAACACATTTATTTTCAGATATTACTTTATCTAGTGAAGTAAGACTAGATTCTTTTACATTCTTCAATGAACAAATACTCTCCCAATTTAACTTAAGATCACTTAACCAGTTCCTACCTAGTAATGGCGGTCCATTTCCTTCAACCACAAGAAGAGGAAGTTTAACACTTTGACCATTATAACTTACATGAACCATACACTCTCCTATTACCGGAACATTGTCACCAGTGTATGTTGTTAGACACTTGTGACACGGCTGTAGAGACACTGATCCTCCTGTGACAGCGTCAAAATCTTTCTTTGTTATGACTGTTAGAGATGCTCCAGTGTCAAGTTGGAAGCTGATGCTCTTACCGTTGATATTAACTAGTACATTGATGGGAGCATGACTTATTGATTTCACAGAGAACAGGTTGAAATCCGGCTGCAAATCAGTTTGAGAATTTTCACAGGTAGAGTGGTTCATTGGTTGGGTTAGGTAGTCTTGGTGAGAGTTAACATAGTGCTGCTTTTGGTTGCGGTACTGTCTTGACTGGCTAGATTTAGCAACAGACGAAGACTTTGCGAAGCAGGCCTTGGCAATGTGACCTTGCTTACCGCACTTATAACAAGTTGCTAACTTGAACTTGCACCGATGAGATGCATGGGGACCTTTGCATCGATGACATTTTTGATAATTATTACTAGATTTAGATCTAGGATTTGAACGAGCAGGCTGTTTAGCATAAATTGGAATGCTCTGATGGGGTTGGTGTTTGTTGACTAACCTGCTGTTTACTGCATGGATCCCTGAAGGTGCTAAAGATCTCACCGCATCTGATGACTGCTGGATTGAAGTTGCGAGTTGTATTGCTTTTTCCAATTTTAGATCTGACTCGAGCAGCAACTTTCTTTGAATATCAGGGCTGTTTACACCTGTCACAAACTTTTCACATAGTCTGTCAGACAGCGTATCGCCGAATTCACAAAATTCACTTAAATGACGTAAAGCAGCAACATATTCTGTTATTGACTCGTTTGGTTGACGAGTCCTACTGTCAAATCTAGCTCTACATAAAAACTTTAATGGGGTAGGCGCATGGTGGTCTGTTAGCAATTTGCTCAGCTCGTTAAAGCTCTTGGTAGTTAGACTAGCTGGTGCGCATAAGTCTTTTAGTAGCCTAAATTGTTGAGGCCCTATGACTGTTAACAAAACAGCTCTCTTTTTGGCTTCTATCGTCACGTCGTTAGCTTCTAGGTAAAAGCTTAACCTCTCTAGGTAATCTTGAATGATTTCATCATTCGAATCAAATTGCTTTATTTGGCCATACAGCGCCATTATTCTAGAAATAATTAGCTAATAAGCTCTAGCAAACCTCTTTTTGCGTAAGTAGGTGCTCTTTCTAGTGGATGTTTATCCTTCGTCGCCAAATGACGTGGATTGTAATGACTGACGAGAAGCCGCGTTGGTTGTTAACAGTCTTTATTATGTACAGACGCCATCATGCAAAGAGAGAGCGGAAGAGAGAGAGCAAGTGGCCAGAGACCACTATATATAGATAACAACATGTAAGGGACATCACTCAAGATAACAATATAAATATAATACTAATACAGAGAGTGAGTTCCCTTGACCTCACAATTATTTCAATCTATTACATAAACACACATAAAGTATTGAAAATTGTTGGTGAAAAAGGTTTAAAGATAAACAAAGATAAATGTCAATTCATGCTGACAGAAATTAGTTTTCTTGGTTATATATTAAGCAAACAAGGCATCAGACCTCAACCTGAGAAAACAAAAGCCATTAAAGAAGCACCCAAACCTGAAAATACCCAACAACTAAGAGCTTTTTTGGGCTTGATAAATTACTATGCAAAGTTCATAGGAAATCTGTCTGGTAAATTATCACCACTGTACAAGCTGCTACAGAAAAATGCAACTTGGCACTGGGGTAAACAACAAGATACTGCTTTTAATACAGCAAAAGAGGCTTTGTCTGCTGACACCTTACTAACTCACTATGACCCAGGGAAAAGACTTGTATTGACATGTGATGCTTCACCAGATGGTGTAGGAGCAGTCTTGTCCCACATGGATGAGAAGGGTGACAGACCCATTGCTTTTGCCAGTAGATCTTTGAACCAGGCTGAGAAAAATTATTCTCAGTTAGATAGGGAAGGCTTAGGCATCATTTTTGGTGTTAAGAAATTTCATAAGTTTCTGTTTGGTAGGAAGTTCACCATCTTTACAGATCATAAACCATTGCTAGGTTTATTTGGAGAAAACAAAACCCTACCTGAGCATGTCTCACCAAGAATTCAAAGATGGGCTATCACACTAACTGCATACAATTATGAATTGAAATACAAACCTGGATCTGAGAATAGTGCAGATAGTCTTAGTAGATTACCTTTAAAGAACCAAAGCCTGAGCTATGTACCAGAAGATGTATTTGTTCTCTTCACTATCATGGATAACTCCAATATAAATGTGAATGATATTAAGAGAGAAACACAAAAAGATGAGTGCTTAATAAAAGTATATGAGTACTGTATGAATGGTTGGCCTGAAGAGTCTGTGAATGATGACTTAAGGCCATATTAAATAAGAAATAAAAACCCTTTGTGAAGATAATATTAAAGATGGAGAAGATGCAGTCCATTACCAGTCAGAGTTGCCTAAACAAGGTACTTGTAACTTGATAAATGATTATGGTGATATGGCAATTTCAAATGTTTTAAAGAGAATACATTAGTAAGAAGGAATGTGATCATCAAACAACTTTGCTAACATCATTAGCACTTACAGAAACTAAAAGGGTAACATCAAAAGAAAAGAGCAAAGATTTTTGCCATTGAATACACCCACTTCAAATACTGGATCACAGTTGCAAAGTGATATTGTCCAGGATATTACTTTTAAACAGTATGTTTGGTTACGAAAAAGCACTATCAGATTACCTGAGGAAATTGATCAATCAAAGAAATCTATGCCAGTTAAGGATCTGAATAATAGCATAATACTTTCAGATGCCAATTAAAAAATTAAATCATGACAAACATTCATTGAAAGAGAATTTGGTGTTAATGAGAATGTGTATCTAAGAAATTATGGGAAAAAGGAAAAATGGATACCAGGTCAAATTGTTCAATGTACAGGACCTATGTCTTATAAAGTTAAAAATAACTTGTGCAGATAATAAGTGTGAATCTGTCAATCCCACCAAGTCTGATCAGTTCACACCAACTCAGTTTGTTCCACAACCAAGTTCTGTTGATATGAGTGAATCAAGTTGTCTAGAGTCAGAAAATGTAAATTCTGGAGTTAATGATTTAAATCCTAGACCTCCTGAGATAGAGAATCCAGATGGTCAGAATCTTGAGTCACCAAATCAGAAGCCACTGAGAAGGTCAAGCAGGACAATCAAAGTCCCAAATAAGTTAGACCTATGATTCTAAAGGTCAAAAGGACTTTGACATTATTGTTTTGTATTTTGATTATGTTGTAGCATATTGTGCATTGTTTGTAAGGATGTAATCTACCATAGTGTTCATGTTACAATATAATTGGTGATTTTAGGATACTATCAATTGTTCTATTGAGAGATGTGTTATTGTGTTCTAAGGGTAAAGGGATGTAATAGATTGAAATAATTGTGAGGTCAAGGGAACTCACTCTTCTGTATTAGTTATATTTATAATATTGTTATCTTGAGTGATGTCCCTTGGGTACTTCCTCCCGTCCTCTCTGTGTGTTACCATCGTGATGTAGTTAGACCCAATAAATGTGTTATATACAACCACAGGCTTCTGTCGTCAATCTATTATAGTTTTTTAACTTTGTTTTTTTTTTTTGTTAAACTTTGTTTTTAAATCTTTTTTGTAAATGTTCTTAACTTTATTTTTAAACTTTTCCAAGCAGTGTTTTTTTTTTCCTTTCTTTTTTTGCCCAACATTGTTTTTTTTTTCTTTTTTTCCCCTTTGCTTTTATTTTCCTTTTTTTTTCCTTTTACCTTTTTTTTTAAAGATGGTATGGCGTAGTTTATTGTTATATCATATTTCTACAGCTCTTTTTCTTCTCTCTTTTACTGGTGTTTATAGTTCCTGCGTATGTACATCATTGTTGTTGTTTTTTTGTGGTATTTTTTTTAAAATAAATTTTTGTGTGCGCCTGTGGCTTTTCGTTTGGTGTTCAGTATTTTATCCGTCATTTATGTTACAAAGTCCCAGTATTATTTATACTTCTGGTTTCATTATAAATATGATTCTAGAAAAACTTCATATCTATAAAGCATCCATTTAAAGCCAAAGTATATCTTGATAAGCTGTTTTGATAATTACGCAATATTTTATATCTTTAAAGTTAAAATTCCTTTTTAACAAGGGCAACAGTTTTATGTTAATATTTAAATTTTATTTGTGCAAAGTAAGTGATTTTATTGCAAAAAAAATACATTTTTTTTAAATATGTCACTAATGCTAGCAGTATCAATCTGACAGATATTTTTCTATTATTATATCTCCAGAGTTCGTTGATTTCATTCTGGCGCCATGCCTTTTACCAAGTCCCGTAACTGCAACAATCAAGACAGATAGTGAAGACAACAGCAGTGGCGTCCCCTTAAATAAACGTAAACGAAACGACAGCCCTTTGCACGATAGCGGCAGCAGTTCGACCCACACTCCACCTAACATCACTTCCACCAACAACACAAAAGTATCTTATTTTAATCCTCCACCAACTGAAACAGAATTATAACTCAGTGATCAATAATGCATGGTTTTGTCATGAATACTAATAGCTAATGACTTCAAAAGACAACATAAAATTTTACAACCACTGATAGAAAAATAATGTATATATTACATTGTCTTCCTTTTTATAATATACTTGTTATATAACACTATAACGTGTAGCAATATTATAATTTCAATTAAAGAAATCTATGTATCAACTGGAAAATTAGGCTTGTTCAATTTGTTTGTGTAAGAAGCTGGAGTAGACGCCCAAGTAACAATCTATATATATAATTCTCTTCTTGGAGACGTTAGAAAACAAGCTGTAAACGCGCTCCCTACCACCCCACCCCTACATGGTCTTAGTGAGCTGTGTTCACTCTAAATGTTTACAAGCAGAGCTGGGTTTAGTGACGACTATTAGGGGCAGATAATTTAGTTTGAAACGATTTTAAACGTAGGGAGGAGGGGGGGGGGGGGGGTTATGGTCCTTAACGAGCTACTTATAGTGTTTTAAAGAAATATTTTCAGTGGCAGTGTTGGTACTGTCGAATTCACAAATTATGAATTACTGAAAAGTAGAAAAAACAACAACTAAATAGCGGCGTATGTTATGCCGCGGGCCGGCTCGTAGTGAATAAACTTCTTTAGACCCGGTGTTTCTTTCAGGCTTTTTTCTCTTGGGGGAGGGGCACTTTAAATTTTGGAGGGGGGGGGGGGCGGACTTAAATTTCCAGGGGGGGGGGGGTTGGGCACTGTTAAAAGTATATATGTTCTATATAAATTCCATTTTGTTCGGGGGGGGGGGGGGAGAGCCCCACCCAAAAGATGCCTGGAAGAAACTCTGTTTAAACATAGCGATCCTTTGGCCAGATGAAGTACAGTTCATATATTTCTTGTCCTCGGCATATGAACGGAAGGTGTGGTGATCATTTTGTCCTGCCGCCTTTACTGTCCTGATTCGAACTCGAGCCTTTCGGGTTAACAGCCTAGCGCGCTACCGCTTTGGCAACGCCGTCCCATAGAACTCAGCCAAATAAGGGCCTTAATCGAGGCAGCAATCTCACACCACTGAGACCTTTCTTCAGCTCGTGACGTGAAGGCACACATTTCTTTAAAACCTGTAACCTATTACAGATGTAATAGAAGCGCTACTTTTACGTCTTATTATTTAAGCTGTGACGAGTTAAGAAATGTTTAAGTTTGTCTAGTTTTACAATCGATTTCCTAGTCATAAATAGACAAATAACTGGCTGCAGGACAAGGTATCGATTGAGAAAAGGTTTATAACGAACCGGGCGACTGCCGACTGAGCGATGTGAAATTGGGCGAGGCTGCTGCCCCCCCCCCCCCCTTCAACGAAATAGAATTTATATAGAAAATGTATACTTTTACCTGTGTCCACCCCCCCCCCTACCCCACACCCGAAAATGTCCCCCCCCCCCCCCCCCCCCCCAAACTTTTTTTTAAATTTTCCCCTCACCCGGAGAAGAAAGTCTGGAAGAAACACTAATACTAATTGTGTTCGTTCGTCAGCCGTGCCTCTGTTTATATTATAATCAGATTAGCAACAACATGATGATAGCAAAGAGAAACAACAGAAAGCTTAATGGTTTGATCTAGAGATCAAACAAATTGTTTACCAGTAGGGCAGGAGCGCTCTTCTCATCAGCATTGTCGTTTTTACATAAACAACACGAGGATCGTGACTGACGCTGGTAGGGATAGGAACCAGTCCATTCGGCTTGCAGTCTTTTACAGAAAGATCAATCGCAATTCTGAGACAGAAGCTGATGAAGTACTGATAATGATATATAGATACGACACGAAAAAATCTATTTACGGCGCTTAATGTTATTTGGCGTTTAGGACTGGCTAGTCTAAAGGGTGTCTTCGTGATTTGTGTTTGATTTCGGTATTTAGAATTTACTTGCTCGTTAATCGTCAGAGAGGAAAAGCATTAGGGTAACGTTTAGCTGTATTGTGATGATGATTGTATCTACACGCAATTCTAACTTGTTAATTTCAGGGTTTAAGGAGGGGGGGGTGACAGGTTTATTTTGTCATTTTGTAGATAATGTTGAATTAATTCGTCAACCCAATCCTCGTTAATTAATAAAATTGGTGCTAGTTTTGTCACCTTAATCCCTGAAATTAACCCTTGCCTCTAACCTCGATTGTAATCCTAATCCTGACACTAACCTTAACAGCGCTCTGATGGGTTCCTACCTTACGTTAGGGAAACAAAAAAGGCGGCTGGGCATAGTGCTGACCACACTATCCCTTCATATGCAGAGGTCAATGAATCAGATGAACTCAAGTCCCCCCTCCCCCACACCTCCCCGGAGAAAAAAGTCTGGAAGAAACACTGATTAAGAAGAAGAAAAACCTTAACAACGATAGTCGCAGTCATACCAGACAGTCATGTTTATAAGAGCCGATCTGCCCTAGCCCAGAAACAAATCAATAACAAATATTGATCTGCAGTAATTTTCTTCCTTCTCTCCGATCAGGCAGACCAACCCTTGCCACTTGGCGTACATCCGGCCAACAAGTATTTTCCTAGCCGGAACAAGATATCACATTTTCTCATAACGTTTTTTTTTTATTAAATAATTTTTTTTTCTCACCTTGGCAAATAGCGGAGATGGTTATTTTGTTTTGTTTCGCTTTTTAAAATTTCACTTGACCGTCGTTGTTTTTTTTTAAATTGCCCGAGTAGCACTTTTAACCCAGCTCTGTCGTGATGACCCTAGGGGCCAAGATCCGTGGCTCCACGCATCATTGGCGTCCATGTGTATCTAGGCGCTTCAAGTCGTACCCACGATTTTACCCGTCCCCACAAAGGATTACATGGATTAAAGTGTGAGACTTCAGCCATCCCAGCCCCCCCCCCCCTACCCCACATACCAGATACACAACTTAAAAAAAAACATTATACTTTCTAATCTATATATATAATTCTCTTCTGGGAGACGCTAGAAAACAAGCTGTAAACGCGCTCCCTACCACCCCCACCCCTACATGGTCTGGTGAGCTGTGGGTTTAGTGACGACTATTAGGGGCAGATAATTTAGTTTGAAACGATCTTAAACGTGGGGGGGGGGTAACTAAGTGGAGTTTACTTTAACGGAGGGGGGGGGGGTATCGTCCTTAACGAGCTACTTATAGTGTTTTAAAGAAATATTTTCAGTGGCAGCGTTGGTAGTGTCGAATTCACAAATTATGAATAACTGAAAAGTAGAAAAAACAACAACTGAATAGCGGAGTATGATATGCCGCGGGTCGGCTCGTAATATTAAATATATAACTGTCCTTACAGATAAACTCTATATCACTTGCCCCAATAGATCGTAATATTCGTGAGATGGCCAAGCGGTAGAGAGCTGGACTGCTAAACCGAGAGTCTCGAGTTCAAATCCGGGTTTAAATCAGTGGAACGTCCCTGAGTTCACCCAGCTCTGATGGGTACCTAACGCACGTTAGGGAAACAAAAAAGGCAGCTGGGCATAGTGCTGACCACACTATCCCTTCATATACCGAGGTCAATGAATTAGATAAACTCTACTTCATCTGCCCCATGTGTCTTGGGCACGAACGCGATTAAGAAGGAGAAGACTTTAATTTCTTATTCCTTACTCGATGAGTAGGCCTATTCATATATATTGTATTTTCAGTTGTTGTTTTTTTTATCGATTCTTATACGTAGTGTAAATGTATTTATTATTTCGCTTCGTAGCGAAATTGCTACAATATGAAACGAAAGGTTGATTCTTCTCGCATTATTTAGATTCGTACAATAATAAAACGCCTAAACACCACTTGTGTTTTTCTTCGCGAAATGCCATCTTTACGTTTTACATCTTTTTAAAAAAAAGTTTAAATAAAATCAAACTAAACGTAAGCATTTATATTTTGACAAAAATGCAAGAAACACAATCCCCAGAACACGATCAGTATCGCAACAGATTGGTCCATTTTACGTTTAGAAAAATAAAAAATAAAATCCAAATTTTATAATAACAAGCTTCTAAATGCGCTGAAAATGAGAACATTTTATCTAACTTGCTGATTTTGGTCTCTCTTGATATCTCGTACACTTCTTTTTAGATTTGCCACAAACCCACAAAAAGAAAACAGACTTTTAAAACTAAAAGTGTGTAAAAAAAAAAAAAGAGCCGGGGGGGGGGGGAGGTTAAGCTCCAGCATTTGAAGTCGATCACCAATTTACGGGTGGCGTGGTCGAGTGCTAGAGCGTACGACTACTAACCAGTGAGCCTCTTTCGAGTTCAGTACCCAAGCTTGAGTCCGTAAGGTGTATTCTAGTCCACCTAACCTATGTAGGCACCCTTTAGTACAGGTAAAGTAGCGATAACTGGACATAGAACTGACCACATTATTTTTTATGTGCGTTCATACTTTATCTGCCGCATAGATAAATCAGATAAGTGCACAGATATCTTACTCAATAAAAATATTTTCATCATTTTTTCTAAATTATTAATTACAAATATTTCATTCCAGCAATTTTGTACATTTAAAATGATATGTGTCATTTAAAATAAAAACGGAAATAGGCGAAACATTGAAATTACAACACATTATTGATTAATCCCGATTCATCGATATTTTATATGTTGACTTTTGATATTGACTTTTAAAACTTCTAAATGGGCTCCACTCGACTAGAACGGCACCAATTTTTACCTGAAGGTAAAAAGGTTTCAATCGATTTCCATGACTAACTCACCTTGAACTTTTAAAAGAATATTATAATAAAAAAAAAATTTTTAAAATAGATAATTTTTTTTATTTTAAAATATAATTAGAAAAAAAAACAAAAACAAAAGCACGATGTTAATGTTTGAAGGGAAGTTTTGCTACATTACACAAATAGCACCATTGAAGGTTTTGCTACATTACACAAAGAGCACCATTGAAGGTTTTGCTACATTACACAAACAGCACCATTGAAGGTTTTGCTACATTACACAAACAGCAACATTGGAGGTTTTGCTACATTACACAAATAGCAACATTGGAGGTTTTGCTACATTACACAAATAGCACCATTGAAGGTTTTGCTACATAACACAAACAGCACCATTGAAGGTTTTGCTACATTACACAAACAGCAACATTGAAGGGTTTGCTACATTACACAAATAGCACCATTTAAGGTTTTGCTACATTACACAAACAGCACCATTGAAGGTTTTGCTACAT